TTTACAGTAAATTACATATTTATTTATCGATTTTCACACAACAAATGTTCAATTTCTTGAATTTAATTCTACCTATTTATTTTATTATTGTTGTTATTAATCAAATCAGTAAGAGAATCTACTTTATGTAATGGTGATTCTGATGCAGAATTAAAATTACAAGTCAAACAATATAAAAGGAATGGAGGTATGATAGCAATCATCATTATAATTAGTTAAATAATTAAATAGTAAATAATGATAAAATGATAAAACCAATATTTTCATTCAGAACATGTACCTCTTGGAGAATGTTCTGTTACACTTCGAGAGATTATGGGAAGAAACAAAATATTTCCATTGAAACTTCAACCTGGCTCACAGAGAAAAATTTCAAAAGATGCAAACATAACAGTTGTTAAAGCTTTGGTACCCCCAAGTTTTTTGGATTATATTGCAGGTGGCACAAAAATTCGTCTTATGGTAGCAATTGATTTTACAGAATCAAATGGTGATCCTAGAAGTCAAAGAAGTTTACATTATAGTGGCGGAAGAGAAAATGATTATCAACGAGCCATCAGAAGTGTTGGAACAATGTAAATATTTTTAGATTTGTAATATCTTGCTTTTGTATATTTATTAATATTAATATTAACATTAACATTAATCTTTGAGATATATAGTTTAGAAGCATATGGTTATGATAGATTATTTTCTGTTAGTAGAATCATAAATAGTTTATGATGAATGATAATCAAATAATCGGAAGAAACATAATAACAATGACCATTGTATTTAATCATTAGGTTTATGGATTCGGTGCAAAATTTAATGGAATATTGTCTCATGCTTATCCTCTTAATAATGATCATCAGAATGTAAGTATTTTCTTCTTATTAATATTAAGATATGTACATATTCACTTATGTATATATTATTCATTTATAGCCACAAGTTGAAGGCGTAGAAGGCATCTCCATTTGAAAAATTATCATCAAAGTTAATAAAATATTCAGAGTTATTGTGTTTTATTTTTTAAAAAATAATTTTTACAAACAGAGCATGACTTGAAATAAATTTGATATTGTAAATGAAATTATAGCTTTATACCAATATAATTATCAAAAAATGCAGTAATAAAAAAATTTACATCTTTAACATCTTTAGTGATTTTTTAATTGTTTGCTGTTCTACATAAAATTATAAAATTATATATATAGGAATAGGTGTATATGAAAAACAATAATAAATACAAAAGCAATTGATTTTTTAGAAAAAGGTTGTAATTGCGTGGATGCTCTTCAAGAATTCCCAAGGAAAATTTTGCAGAATTAAGGGAATTCTTTCAAGCTCTTTCTAAAACAGAACAAGACATATTTTTAATGGCCCAACTTAAAGCAATGGATGGTGGATCAACAAGCACTAGCAGACGCCTTAAAAAGAAAACTAGATCTAATAAAAGAACTTTCTATCATTGGGATCATAATATGCCTTTCTGTCAAGAAACTTATCTCAATATGTTAGGAATTGGCAGAACTTATTTTGAAAATATTAGAAATCATCTGATAAACAATGGTCTTCTGTCAAGAGTTTATGGTAATATTAAAAGAATGTCTCAATGGAAAACTAAGATAGCAATTGAAAAAGACATTACCACAATTGTAAAGAACTTTCTGGGAAATTATGCTGAGGTTCATGGATTGCCAAGTCTAGGAAGAAGTAGCAATAAAATAACTCAATCAGTTGTATTTTTTCCAGCTACAAATCAGTCCACAGAGATTTTTTGGCTGGTCTGAAAGAAGATAACAAATTGAAATCTTTAAAATATGATGCATTCAGAAAATTATGACATCAATTGGCACAGATACTTGTCAACATTTTCGAAATACTATGGGTAATTATTCTTTATCATCGTGTGTATACCTTTACATTTTTATTCATTATTAATATATTAATATTAATATGGTCACGTCATCTATAAGTGAAGTTTTAAAAGGTAAACCTTGAGTTCAAAGAAGTCATCAATCGTTAATGAATTAAAACATTCACGTAGTAGTGCAATTAATCTTTTATGTACAAATATTATAAATAAAAGTGAATTGAAGGGCAACCTTTAATCAATTGACCATTTGGGCATTGTAAATGATGTTTTTAATTCGTGACTCTCCATTTCACCGTTTTTGCAGTTTTGTCATTTTTCTAATTAATATAAAAAGGATAATTATTCCCTTTCCAATGCTTTGATATAATAAATACAAACCTTACAGTTGTATAATAAATTATCCCATTTTCAATTAACAATTATGATATAATATATTTCTTTTTGAAGAAAATGGATGAATGTGATCAAGAGATTAATGACTTTTACCAAGAGGATGATTGAATTATTATTAAGGCAAATTACTATTTCTATACTTTAAAAAAAATCTTCAACCGGTCAATACCTGATATACTCTCATGCTCCTTGAACCCTTAGAAAAGGCCACAAAGCACCTTCCAGCGTCATTATATCCAGCTATGGGCGATATTCGTTTTGTCTTTGGAAGCATCCAGGTGCATTTACAATAATAAATAAAAGGAAAAGGTTTCACACAGAGTGAAATAGCAGCAAGTATTGGCATGGATCATTATTCAATCACTTCAATTTTAGGCATCTAAACCAACTCTCGGTCTTTTCAGAAGAAATAGACAAAGTGCTTGTGAACATATTAAAACAATTTTTGAAACTTTCCTGAAGTACTTTTCAATACACAATCTCCTGTAAACTATCATCAATGCAACTCGTTGATTTTCATCGTAATCCCGCATCTATTATGAATCATGTACGTAAAGAAATAAAAATTTCAGTCATTATGCAACTCTACAATAAATGATTTTTTTGATAAAATCTCTCTATTGCATTAAAACCAGAGATCTATTCTATCAACCAATAGAGCTATTTTTTTAAAAGGTGGGATATAATGTGACTTTATACTTTTAAAATTTGTGCAAGTCAATTATACAATGTTTTTAACGATTTTGCTCTTGTGCTTCAGTTTAATAAAGCCAAAGAACAAAGACCGTTTTGATATAAATTTGAAATTTTCGCATTAATACTTAATAAAGAGTGGTCTGAATGAAGTTTCCTTTTTGAAACAACAGTCGGTTGGTTTCAATGAGAAAAATTGGCAAGATTTTCAAAAGTTTATTAAATGAAAAAACATTATAGAAATTTTTTTTATTATAAATAACGTTAACAAAAAAAACTCCCGATTTTAAATATTTTTTTTTGTAAATTAAATATGAAAGAACGAATTGAATTAAAAATTAGTTGTAAAAAACTTGATGTTCTTTCAAATAGTGCTCTCCAAGTCTTGTTATCAGTAAAAGATGCCAAAACACAGAAATGGAGACCAACATCTTATAAAACTGAAGTCATAAAGAACAATTTAAATCCAACATTTGTAACTGGGTTTGTTGTTGATTACGTATTTGAAGAATTACAAGAATTTAGGTAATTAGAAAAGTTTTTCATTCATTCTTTCAAAAAAAAAAAAAACCTTTTCTTTATGCTTTCCAAAAATATTAGATTTATATGTGTAAATGATACAAATCGAGAGCATCAAGACTTTATTGGCCAATTTGAATGTGATTTAGGATCAATTGGTAAAGTTTTAAATTATAATATTATGCACTATATATTCTGAACAATTAATAATTTAATGGAATCATTTCGATTTAAGTTGCCAGTGAAGGGGGAAAGATGGTGGGATTTTTGACTTCACCTAATCATCCTGGTAAAAATCATGGACTAATAATTATTTCAGCTGATTCTAAAAGAAATCTAAAGTCGGTAAAAAATTATTTCTCATTTATATTATAATTAATTGAGAATATTGTGAATTAATGTTAAAATTTTGTTTATTAATGAACAATTAGATTACAGTTTCAAGCATGTAATATAGTTAACAAGGTGATTTATTAAAGAATTGATCATAAAATTAAGATATTATATATTAATATATCAATTGTTGACACCATTTAGGGGAAATTTTTTGGAGCAAAAGCAACTACATTTTTGGTTATTAGTAGAGCAAATGAAAATAATACCTTCTCACCAGTTTATGAATCAGATGTAGTTTCTTCTTCTAGTCCATGCTGGAAAGAACTTTACAGTAAATTACATATTTATTTATCGATTTTCACACAACAAATGTTCAATTTCTTGAATTTAATTCTACCTATTTATTTTATTATTGTTGTTATTAATCAAATCAGTAAGAGAATCTACTTTATGTAATGGTGATTCTGATGCAGAATTACAATTACAAGTCAAACAATACAAAAAGGATGGAGGTATGATAATAATCATCATTATAATTAGTTAAATAATTTATTAGTTAATTATTAAAATTTTTAATCATAGATAGTAAATAATGATAATGATAAAATGATAAAACCAATGTTTTCATTCAGAACATATACTTCTTGGAGAATGCTCTGTTACACTTCGAGAGATTATGGGAAGAAACAAAATATTTCCATTGAAACTTCAACCTGGCTCACAGAGAAAAATTTCAAAAGATGCAAACATAACAGTTGTTAAAGCTTTGGTACCCCCAAGTTTTTTGGATTATATTGCAGGTGGCACAAAAATTCGTCTTATGGTAGCAATTGATTTTACAGAATCAAATGGTGATCCTAGAAGTCAAAGAAGTTTACATTATAGTGGCGGAAGAGAAAATGATTATCAACGAGCCATCAGAAGTGTTGGAACAATGTAAATATTTTTAGATTTGTAATATCTTGCTTTTGTATATTTATTAATATTAATATTAACATTAACATTAATCTTTGAGATATATAGTTTAGAAGCATATGGTTATGATAGATTATTTTCTGTTAGTAGAATCATAAATAGTTTATGATGAATGATAATCAAATAATCGGAAGAAACATAATAACAATGACCATTGTATTTAATCATTAGGTTTATGGATTCGGTGCAAAATTTAATGGAATATTGTCTCATGCTTATCCTCTTAATAATGATCATCAGAATGTAAGTATTTTCTTCTTATTAATATTAAGATATGTACATATTCACTTATGTATATATTATTCATTTATAGCCACAAGTTGAAGGCGTAGAAGGCATGTTGTCACTATATTTACAAACATTAAATACTGTTGAATTATATGGACCAACCAATTTTTCTCCAGTACATTTTTTTTTTAAATTTCATTATCTTTTCAATTTGAATCTTATCTCATATCAATCAATATATCATCTAATCATCTAATTGTCAACTTGTAGATTATAAAGCTGACAGCTAACAAAATTGAATCAGAATTAGGAACAGGGAACGTAAGTGCCTATTATATATTATTCATAATCACAGGTAATAATAATATTAGTAATAGTATAACTAGATGATCTAAAAAAATTCAAACTTATTAATTCATTAATTCATTTGTTTACCAACTAATCAATTAATAATAATTATAATTCTTGTTAGATGGTGTGATAACAGATATGGATTTAACAATTCGTTCTATAATTAATGCAAGTTCACTTCCACTTTCAATTGTTATTGTTGGTGTTGGTGACGCAGACTTCTCATATATGGCTAGGCTTGGAGGTCCATTAGTTGTAAGCATATATTATATTTGATTAAAAATCTTTGGATCATAATTATTTATTTATTAATAATTTTTTTGGCATAGTCGAAATCTGATGAAGCATTATCTGGAACAATTGGGAGAAGCATAGTACAATTTATAGCTATGAAAGATTATCAAGCAGAAGCAGCTGGATATTCATTGCCAAAAGTATTACTAGAAGGAATACCAGATAAATTTTTGGACTACATGAATAAAAACAAGATTCCACCAAAATCAATAAACAAAGAAACATAGACTAACTACAAGTTGATTTGTTAAAACATCCAATGAAACCACCACCAGCTTATGCACATGATACACAGTTAAATGCTAATTTGTTATACCTCACTCAATTAGAATATTATTTATTAATTTATAGATTTACTTTTTAATTCTTATTTTTAATTCTTATTATATTATGTTCATCTTCAAAAGAAAATACAGCAAGTGTCCTTATATTTTTTTTTTGACCAGGATGCATATATTAATATATAAAATAAACATTTCACTATTATCAAAATTGAAAAAATGGATGATTCATTCAAAGTTTTTTTTCCCCAGGATTTTTAAATAATTGATTTTTTTTTATAAATGTTATTATTGTACTTATGTTGGGGAATCAGGATTTATAATATTTTTTTATTTACCCTCATTGGTGAATGGTGGTGCTTTTCATGATTACTTTCCAAGGACCACCTCTAAGTGAATGCTCTCATTCATTCCCAAGCTTGGGGATTAGAGATAAATGCACACCTCTCCCCCTGCACTACATAGCTTTTTTCATTTCCATATATAACTCTCTCAAATGCATACCCGGGACTTTCACGTGATCGTTGCCCAATAAAAATCGTGTGACAGACGTTATTTTTCCTTTGTTGTGTATATAGAAAAAAATTAAAAAATTGATTTTTTGTAAGAGTTGATAAAGAGTTGAAGTTTTATACTTAGTAAATGATGGTAAAGAATATAAAGAATCAAATTTATTATTAGTATATAAGAGATGATAAAGAATCATTCTGTAACAGGCAAGTAAGGAATTGTTTACTTTATTAAGTGATAGGATAATAAAGAGAATTCTTTCTTTTTAATAGATACGAAGCTTATCAGAACAAAAGAACAAGAAAGCAGATAGAAAAGCCTATATAGTTGAAATTATTATAAATAAGACATATAACTCTCTCAAATGCATACCCGGGACTTTCACGTGATCGTTGCCCAATAAAAATCGTGTGACAGACGTTATTTTTCCTTTGTTGTGTATATAGAAAAAAATTAAAAAATTGATTTTTTGTAAGAGTTGATAAAGAGTTGAAGTTTTATACTTAGTAAATGATGGTAAAGAATATAAAGAATCAAATTTATTATTAGTATATAAGAGATGATAAAGAATCATTCTGTAACAGGCAAGTAAGGAATTGTTTACTTTATTAAGTGATAGGATAATAAAGAGAATTCTTTCTTTTTAATAGATACGAAGCTTATCAGAACAAAAGAACAAGAAAGCAGATAGAAAAGCCTATATAGTTGAAATTATTATAAATAAGACATGAATCAAGAATTTTTATTTCATTAAAAAAATAACTTATAAATATAATATTTTTTTTAGTGTTCACATGCAACCAATGAAATCTAAGTACATGCTATCACTCATTCCCAAAGAGGTGCATTTAGAGGGGGTTGGCTCCTTTGGAGATCTTAGTGTATCGAAAAATTCATAATCATCATTTCTTTGTGTTTTTCATCATCACTCATTAAATTTTTTCTATATAATTGTTCCACTGATCATTTTGTCCTAAGCTGCATAAATAAAATCAATAGATACAAGCTATTTATCATATTAAAGCTTGGAAAATCCTATATACAGGAGGAAGGTCTTGTATATTTAGGATCACCCTTAAAGCTTCGTTGATCATAGTTATCAATTCGTCAACTTCAAAAGAGTAGATGGTACTCACATTGTATCAGATCTTTGAAGTCTGCATATGTAGCCATCCAGAGCATCCATTATAGTAAGCTTACAACTATCATTGCAAAATATGGTGAGCTCTGATATTGAGCACCATCATATTTTCAGAAATACACAGTGAGTCTCGGTATAACGGATATGTTTGTTCCAGGAAATTTATCCGCTATACCGAGTCATCCATTAAAAAAATCATATTATTCTTTAAAAACAATGCGTGATTGATTCAATCATTAACACCAAAGGAACAAAATTAATTATTTCGAAATAAAAGCTATTTGTTTGTTTATTTATTAATGTATGTTTTCTATTCGTAATACAATATTACTTTATATTCGCTTTATTTGTTTTATTTGTTTATTTGTTTTATTTGTTTTATTTGTTTATTCGCTCAAATTATTTGAATTACTTGAATTATTTTTTACTCAAATTATTCCTTTTATTCGAATAGAAACCTTATCTACTTACTACTCAAGGTTATGATATTGTTTTTAGTATTGCAATTAAGAAAGCTCACAAAGAGCTTTATTGTTTTACAATCTTTAGACGATTTAAGAAGGGGTATTTCTTTCTTGTAGTAATGGTAATAATAATATTATTTAATTCCACCACCACCACTACCAAAAATTCGTTGTCCGTTGTAATTATTATATTAATAACGTTTTTTATATTCATTTTATCATGTATTTATTAACATTACTTGTTAAATATTTGGTCAGCACTAGGTAAATATCGAAAAAAGACGATAGCCACCGGATCCGTTGTCTTTAGTCGATAAAAGTATCTTGAACACAAGAGTTATCTTTAGTTGATAAAGTTGTCTCAAAATCGCTTTACCCTACAAAAAGTGTCCAAGTCTAGAAAATTAGTTTATAATTAATTAATCCGAATGTATATCAATATAATAATAAACAATTTGAATCTCATGTATTTTAAAGATACCTTTTTCTTGAACAAAGAAAATAACCATATTAAATAAAACCTAAAAGTCATTCACTGGTAAAGCTTATTCACTCAATTTATTTTATTGCGATCAATTATTTCGCTTTCCCGTCTAATAACAATAACAACAGTAATAACTATCTCTTAAACGGTCAGAGTATTCTTTAATGGGAACACAAAGTTAACGATCAGCAAAGTAAAAACAGTCAATCGACCAACTTTTAAAGAAGATTTTACAAAAACCACAAGTACAACAACTGGATTTTTATTTATAGAAAAAAATTTTTTTATCAATAAGTTGGGACGCTCTAGGAAAATCGGTTTCGAGACTTTTTGATCAAAAAAATTTTTTTACTTGGTTACAAAAATAAATTCTTGAGGCAACAAAATTTTCTTTGAATCGAATTTAAAAAATGATCTACAAACTCAAAATAATTTAATAAATTTAATAGTCACGGATTAAATTACTTAAATATTAAGAAAATGGAGTGAAAATTTTGGCCGACTTATTGAGTAAACCGACTTATCGAGTGACCGACTTATCGAGTTTACATATGTACTAATTCATAATTTTTATTATAACTTTAACCTTTCTATAAAATATAAATTTTAAAAGGAAAATGGATACATGCCTTATTATTATTAATCAATATCGTAGTTATCCACAAAAAATATCCGCAATCGCCAAATCGATTTCTAAATAAGGATAACATGCACCCAACCCAACCAATAAAATTGGATATTCTCATGATGCTGCGCAAAATTGCGGATATTTTTGCGGAAAAATACATGATTATAATCGTTTTCACAAAAAAAAAATTTTTTTTATATATTACTACGAGTCGATCATTCAAATTTATTTTATTGCAAATTATTTTGCTCGCGACCAATAATTATAATAATTGGATTTTTATTTTTATAAACATCAATAAATACGAATCAATAAAATACAAATCAATAAATACAAAAATTTCAAAATTTATTTTATTATTAAAAATTATAATTTGTGTTCTCGGGATTATGAAAATATTATAAAAACTTACCAAATGGTGGCACCTCCTAGCTAACAATGGCAATTCTTTTCGATAAACTGGAAGAATTGCCAAGAAACCAGTAAAAAGAAAGAAAACGATAGTTGAATAAAACTTGGAACAAGAAAGGGAAGATTTAAAATTTTATAAAAATTAATGTTAACCGGTGATCAAATCCGGTGATCAAAAAGATCAGAAGTGGGGATTAAAAGGAATTCAAAAGGGTATCGGTCCACAGTTCTACTCTTACTGAGAGAAAAGAGAACTGACAAGAGAAAGCAGGAAAGGATCAACCCTGTCCGAGAGGATCGAAATAACTACAAAAAAAAATTTTTTTATAAAGAAACGATGAAAAATGTAAACAATATAAACAATATAACAATAAAAAAATGCAAAAAAAACTTAGCGAATTTCCAAGAAAGCCTTTCGACTAAAGAAATAAGCAAGTACATAAAATTATTATTAATAAAATAATAAAAAATAAAGAAATGACAACAAAATAATAAATAAATAATAAAATAATCCCGAGAACATTTCAAAATTAAAGGAAAGAGGGAGGAAATTGACAGCGAAATTTTATGAGAAAAATAATAATAATAATAATAACAATCTTCCAATAAAAGGGGACTATATATATATGTACGGAATATACTGATCGACAGAAATTATTAATTAATTTTTTTTTTTTAATATATGCATGTCAGCCAGAACTAATTTGTTAAGATGATGCTTTGATAAAACAAAATACACACGATAAACCGGTATTTTTTTATTATCTACTCGTTATTATGGGAACCAATCAGATTTTACATGGTGCGAACTTTGATTAAAACTTTCAAAGGGCGTTTTTAACAAGGGTCAAAATTTGGTTTTAACTTTTTTATCCATAGAAGTTCCATTTTCATCAATCACTTTTTTCACTTGAAGATAAGTTCTTTTTTGTAAAAAAAGATTAACATTTTTGCATGGGCGGTCCCAAAAGAGAGAATATGCGATTGGATGATATTGATCAGAGAAATAAGAAGTGTTACTTAGATTGCATAAAAAAAAATTTTATCTTACATCAGTATTTAGTGTTAAATTGGTTAACGTGATTACGTTATTGTGGGAACCAATCAGATTTTACAT